AGAGAGAGAGAGAGAGAGAGAGAGAGAGAGAGAGAGAGGCAGTTGAGCATACAATACGTACACGTCTTGCACATGCAGGTAACAAGACAGATGAGGTGTCATCTCGTAACGAGGCGTCAACTCGACATAAATATACTACAAATACGCCAACGTACACCACCCGCGAGTAGACGGGAAGCAATCGCGTAGTTATTCTTTGTAAATATAATATATTCATATAATAGCGAGCCATGAGTAACATAATTCTGATATGTATATCTATATTATAATTATAATCTATATTTTGTCACTCCCGCTACTGTTGCCCCGCCACGCCAGTTCACCTCACCCACCGGCATGCGTGCGTGCGTGCGTACTAGCTCACCGTATCCACCGGCATGCGTGCGTGCGTGCGTGCGTACTAGCTCACCGTATCCACCGGCATGCATGCGTGCGTGCGTGCGTACTAGATCACCGTATCCACCGGCATGCGTGCGTGCGTGCGTGCGACCGTTAAACCGTATTTTATGCAAGAAAAAAATTCCGCGTTTTCCAACTCGTTCGCCGACGCGTTTGCATAATATTGACGCACTATAGCGCGGGCATGCGCGCCCCATTCTCCTCACCTCATTCAAACGCACAAAGGAACCCGCCCGCCCTCCCATAGGCACCCATCGCCGCCTCCCGTGCGCGCGCGCGCACGCACGCCAGGTCGAGAGGCATTGTGTGACGGCGTGCGCACCTGGGGCCTCACACCTGCCGACATACGCGGCTCCTGCTGCTGGTGGTGGTGATGATGCTGCTACTGCTGGTGGTGGTGGTGATGATGATGCTGCTGGTGCTACCGCTGCTGCTGCTGCTGGTGGTGGTGGTGATGATGATGCTACTGCTGCTGCTGCTGCTGGTGGTGTGGTGCTGCTGCTGGTGGTGGTGGTGGTGCTACTGCTGCTGCTAGTGCTGGTGGTGGTGGTGGTGATGATGCTACTGCTGCTGCTGCTGGTGGTGTGGTGCTGCTGCTACTGCTGCTGGTGGTGCTGCTGCTGCTGGTGGTGGTGCTGTTGCTGCTGCGGCTGCTGCTGCTGGTGGTGCTACTACTGCTGCTGCTGGTAATGTTGCTACGGCTGTTACTGGTGGTGGTACTGCTGCCGCTGCTGCGACGTACGCGTGACGGGCCGTTTAAGTGACGCACACACACACACACGCGCGCGCGCACACACACACACGCGCACACACACCTGCTCCCCGTTCTCGGTGTGCTAATAACCCGTCCAACGGTTACTCTACACACCGTATTATTTAGATTAAACTAGCGACCGCTAGCGAAAGATGCAGCGCGCCAGTGTCTCCCTCCCCCCCTCTCTCTCTCTCTCTCTCTCTCTCTCTCTCTCTCTCTCTCTCTCTCTCTCTCTCTCTCTCTCTCTCTCTCTCTCTCTCTCTCTCTCTCTCTCTCTCTCTCTCTCTCTCTCTCTCTCTCTCTCCCCCCACCTCTACTCCTTCTCCTTCCCTCCTCTCTCTCCCCTCTCTCTTCGCTCCCTCTCTTCTCTCTCATCTCTCATCTCTCTCTCTCTCCCTCTCTCTTTCTCCCTCGTTCTCTCTCTCTCACTCTCTCATCTCTCTCTCTCTCCCTCGTCTCCTCTCTACTCGCGCTCTCTCCTCTCTTTATCTCCCTCTCTCTCTCTTACCTCCTCTCCCCGTCTCATACTCTCACTCTCTCCTCTCTCTCCTCCACTCTCTCTTCTCTCCCGCTCTCCCTCTCATCTCTCTCCCTCTTCCTCTCTCTCTTTCTCCCTCTCTCTCTGCTCTCTCCTCTCTCTCTCTCTCCCCTCTCATCGCTCTCTCCTCTCTCTCGCCTCTTCTCTCTCTCTCGCTCTCTCGCTTCTCTTCCCCTCTCTCGCCTTCTCTCCGCTTATTGCATAGCTTCCTACATACGTTCACTAAATCTCGCGTACTTTGAAATTTTCTCGCGATTTTTCCAAGCGTGATATTCGCGCTCCTCCACACAAGCTCACTGCTCACACAAGCGCAACGCGAGCTTTATGTGTGCATGTGCGCCTGTTGGCGGTTGTGTGTGTGTGTGTGTGTGTGTGCGCTGCGGTGCGTGTCGCGCCGCCCCTGTGTGTAGTGTGTTGTAGCGCTGTGTGTGTGTGCTGTGTGTGAATGTGTCTGTATGATGATGCGCGCGTATGTGTGTTATCTGTGTGTGTCTTCGCGCGCGCGTACTATTTTTGTATGGTTAGTGTCCTGTGTAGCGCGCCGCGCGTGTATGCTGTCGTATGTGATGTGCGTGTGCGCGCGTGTGCCTCGTCGCGCCGTGTGTGTATATATATGCTCCCCGTGTGTAATGTGGTGTGTGCGGCGCCGTATGCTGTGTATGTGTGTGTGCGCCGCGCGTGTATGTGTGTGTATGTGTGTGCTGTGCCAGGCGTCTGTTGCGCGCGCGACGTGTGGTGTATATATATGCGTGTGTAATGCGCCCCTGGTGTGTGCCGCGCCGCGGTTGTGATGTGTGTCGGCGGCCGGCGCGTGTATGTGTGGTATGTGTGTGCCGCGCCGCGCGTATGTGTTATGTGTGTATGTGTGTTCTGCTCGCGCGCGTGTATGTGTGTGTATCTGTAATATATATGCGCTTGGTGTAATGGTGATGTGTGCGCGCGTGTCTTGCGCGGGCGTGTGTGTGCGCGCGTTTGTGTATATATAATGCGGTGTAATGTGTGTGTGCGCCGCGTCGTGGTTGCGCGCGCGTGTATGCTATGTGTGTGTAGTGTGTGTGCGTGAGCGCGCGTGTGTATTATATGTTGTGTGTACCGCGTGTTTAGAGGAACCTGGCCGCGACGTTTCCGCAATAAACATTGAGACAGCGTGTCGATGCCATTAATACGTCGTCTCGGGAGAACGAACGCCGAACGCCAATGCCTGACCAATTCTGCTCTTCTATTATCGTGAGCGTCACGCCAATCTTCAACAGAGAGACACTCAGTCGATGTGCGTGTCTTCATGTCGATTTGACGTAATGTTTATAATTTCTCCTTATATCATTATCTATATCATTATCAGCGTTCATACCAGCACCCCATCTATCTATACCATACACAGCGAGAGCAGACAGAGCAGACGAAAGAAAGAGAGAGAGAGAGAGAGAGAAAGAGAGAGAGAGCGAGGGAGAGAGAGAGAAAAACAGAGAGAAAGAGAGAGAGAGCGCGGGGGAGAGAGAAACAGAGAGAGACGCCCAGCGCACCCATACATACGATTAGAAAAAAGATAGAGAAGAATTGAATGAAAGATTATAAAAAAAATTGTCTGGTAGCGAAACCACACGTTTGCGGTTCAGCTACATATGCATAATCACAATGATATACGTATATACTCTTCGAAAACACCTTTAATAGTTTTACTGCCCTAAATTATGTCGCTAATTTACAAGTACCTCGATAGTGACTCAATTTTAGTAAGTATTCAATTTGGGTTCATTAAACTCACATTCACATTCATTGAGTTCATGTAACCCGCGCAATATTATAATACACCGAGATCGCATAGCCTGTGTTTAACGCGATTGCCGTAATATCTTGTAAAAAATATAATAATGTATTATGATAAAAATATATAAAAGTACAATAATGTATAAAGAGTAAGTATAATTTAGTTTCGTATAACATAACGATTTTTTTTATTCACTCCCGACACTGCTATTTATGCATGCAGCGAACACCGTAATAACCCGGTCGTTATATATATGATTAGAAGCGGACATGCAACAACGCACCGTGTGGTGATCTATGCATTTGAAATTCTCTCGCACGCGGTCGTTGACACGCTCTTGCCTAGTCATCTCTCACACAACGTCGGCTGTATCTGTCGCTACGCACGACGATGGCGATAGAGCATTAAGGGCGACAAGGAGTTGTCGAAACGCGTGTAAGAAGAACTGATAGCGATCTCACAGAACACGGTTACCCCTGCGGGTTGGCCACGCGCTCCCACAGCACAGAGCGAAGATGAAGAGCAGAAAGTGTGAGAGAGTCACACACTGGTGCCGTACACTGGTGGAACCTGTTTCATTGTCGACACCTTCCTCGGAGTAATAAGGAGAGATGCTTGAACGACAAGCGTCTCTTCAGCGCGTACACGCACACAGTTGGCGGAAATACGCCCGCACACGCAAACACTCATCTACCAGTGGTCTCCCGGGGCAGATAGATAGATAGGTAGATAGATAGATAGATAGATAGATATAGGTAGGTATAGCTGAATGTATAGAAAGATAGAGAGAGATAGATGGAGGGAAAGATCAAAAGAGACAGATAGCCAGATCAATTTATATTGAATATAATATATAAATAAATTTATAGGCCTAATAATAATAATAAATCTATAACGTGTGTGGTAATAAAGCTGATAAAATTCTCGCGCATGCGCGATGCGACTTACCTGTTCGTCTGCGAGTGTGAACCACGTGTCCAATATGATTCCCAGCCTCTGCCGATGATAGCGACCCGTCGTCTTCACGGACAGAAATATCGTCTCTAGTCCAGCTATCCGTTGCCACGGCTTCACGTCACTCGCTACCCGAGAAACGTCGGCCGCCGTCGTCGCCACGGCGGGTTTCACCGCCAGGTGTTGCTCATCGTCCCGTCGGTCGTCGCCGTCCGCTCGCGCTGCGTTGTTCTCCTGCAGTTTAAACTGTCGAAAACGCGGATAGAAGTCGTCGGCAGCTAGCAGCACGTCGGCGTCGGCGACCGAGTTTGGCGACAATGCAGAGTTACTGTTGTCGGCGACTGCCGAGCCGACGTTGCCGCGTTGCTGGACGAGGCACCAGAGGAGGGCGGCCGACGACAGAAGGGCCAGCGCCTGCGCCGCCCGTGACGTCCGCTGCCGTAACCACATATCCTCCTCCTCCTCCTCCTCCTCCCACTCCCCTCCTCCTCTTCCTGCTCCTCTTCTTCTTCCTCCCCTCCTCCTCCTCCTCCTCCTGCACCTCAGCTGGTAGAAGAGGAAGACTCACGTGGTGGCTTGCCTTCTCATTCACGCATTCACTAGAAGATTCGCACGGACGAGGATATTCTTATACACACGGTAACAGCTAGTAGAAGATCCTTCCTTCACATCTTTCTGTAACAGTAGAGGAATCCTCCTTCACATATCCGCGTGGACAACCACCGACTATTCCTCCAGCAATAGTAGATATACAACAGCAGCAGAAGCACGGAACTGACCGCCTGCACTCACCGCGCGTATACACGGGTGTACTACACGCTCGCGTCTATGCGGGTGGTGGGTGGCGTGGGAGGTGGGGGGAGGGAGGGCAGATGCAGGAAGAAAGCCTCCTCTTCACTCGGACGTCTGCACCTGGTGCCAATCTCGTTACGGGGCAGCAGTAGTGCACGGAGCAGCATCAGCAACATGTGCAGCTAGCGCTAGCTATAGCGATAGTCGCTACCGTTGCGCTGACACACAATACTGTTGGAACACGGTCTGCTATATCCCGCCCGCGCGCCCCGTGAGAACGCAAGCAGGCGTGACCTCCCCTAGTTAGCTACCAACACCCGACCGACGCCGGGGCATCATGTTCTACTGCTGATGCTCCCATTCCAGGATTCAGCTGCCTGATCACTATAATGATGTAAATGATGATAATAATAATAATAATAATAATAATAATAATAATAATAATAATAATAATAATAATAATGAGAATGAGAATGAGAATGATGATGACAAATACAAAAACTTTATCCCACGTTTATCTCAAGTGATCGATTACTTTAATAATAATAATAATAATGAGAATGAGAATGAGAATGATGATGACAAATACAAAAACTTTATCCCACGTTTATCTCAAGTGATCGATTACTTCAACCAACTTAACATGAAAATTGCAGGAAACAACAGCGCAACAAACATTGACTCATTAATACGAAATATAATATTATAATATAATAATAATAAATACTAATAATATTAATAATTAAATGATGAAGATGATGAAAAATCATAGTAAAAACGTAATAAATATGAGTGTTTTAACGAGGGAAGGGAAGACAATGCTATAATGAATATTAGGAACGAATATCTTTAGTAATTGATTAAAAATATCTATACAATGATTTTTTTACACATCAGCGAAAATAACACGTGTCATTCAGGAGCTATTTTATTGATTGAATTTAAACTGCACACTTTTGCGTTGACTTGTGAAACAGACATGCACAGAGCACTGAGTAATTGTTCGCGAAAGCAGTAGGAAGAGAACAGGAAGTTCTTCAGGAGTTGTTTCTGCTTATTCTAACACAAGACAAGTTGCCATCAAGTAATTACACCTCGATACCATATGGCACTCAAGCGCAAGTGCTGCCACCTTTAGCGAAAATACTGGAAAACCAGGAGTGAGTAAAACTTGCCGAGAACTTTTGCAGAGAAGTTTAACTCGGCGTGTCGCAAAATACACAGATCTATAAATTGACGCGCTTGGAATCGTACGATTTATGTCTTTATGTCGTACAATCGTACTTATTTTCCATCTACGACCGAGTGCAGTTATAGCCACAGAAGTGGTATTTATAATATATCGTACTCCGAATGCATAACTTTATATCGTACCCATTTGCGTTTCCCGATTGCCGTATATGCTGTTTGTATTTGTTTGTGCGTGTACGGTTGTTATGTTGTGTTGAGTTGTGTTTGTTGTTGGGTCACGAACGTACATTGTAATATTACGAACATTATTTCATATCGTACGTAGAATTTTAATTTAGATAATGATGGCGTAGTACCAGCGTCCAAACTCACTTGCCTAATAATTCTGATGACACGCGCAACTACCACCTAGTTGATTCTACAGCAATAATTATATAGATTGCTCATTAAGCGACCTCACGTACAATGCGAGAAACAAATTAATAAACAATACTAAGCTAACAGCCACTGATAGCATCCTTTGAGGGAAGTTGATCTACATAGCGTTCCAGACAACCACCACATCCCACAGCACCTACGGACTCGTTTCACGCGCATGCGCACGTCGAGCCCGTTATTTTAACAATAACAACAAGAACCCGTCGACAAAAAATAGCGAAGAGCGAGAGGAGGCAGGATCCACTATCTACTAAACTGGTATCAGGCAACGGGTGTGTTGATGACCCAAGATACGCGGTGTCAAACCAATCATCAATAACAACAGCAGAGATGTTCATTGGACAGGTATCGATCAGTGCACAGCGGATCTCGCACGAGGGTCCGCTATTGTTAAAAGCAGGTCCGTCGTCGTCTGCCGAGATGCGACAGATTCCAACTGGATTCTGCGAAATCTGCAATCTCACTATTACACCTCCTCCCGCACGCGACAACTCGAGTCATCGGATCCTCCCCCTCTCCCACCTCCGATTAGCAAAGTTGTTCTACCAGTAGAGAGGGGGAGGTATATAAGACTAGGGGCGATATCACACTGGTCATCACTTGTGGTCTATCGGACGCTAGGACAGCACGCACGTACGTACGGCTGTAAGAACTAACCAACTAACTACACGTGACCCTGAAGATGGAGGTCAAGGTGAAACAGGAGACGATAGACTATGGCTACCTACTAGACTGTAACTACGACGGATGGCAACATGGCGACGTCGCCGCCGACAGCTACGATCGCAAACCGGATGTCACTAGCGACCACTTCCTCGACCTGATTTTCGCCGGAAACGGTGCAGCGCAGACGAGACGGGATGGTGCGGCGACCGTAGCGCCTCTGGTGGACGCGACCGTAGCGCCTCTGGTGGACGCGACCG